GTGTGTGTGTGTGTGTGTAGGCCTATAAAATTTTTGTTACCTTCTATCATCATCATATCCTGAACATCATTATAACCTACAATCATCATCACTCTAAACAGCATCATCATTATTTCCTTAATCATTTATCTTCATTATCAACTATAACATATCTTTATCATCATCATTATCTAAATCACCATCATCTTATTCATCATCATCTCAATCATCCTCACCGGTGCCATCAACGTCCCCGTCGTCATTAACATTCTCATCACCATCATTGTCAACATCATCATCACATTAAAAATTTCAAATCATTCACCCCATGTTTATCATTATTCTTGACTCATCTTAATATGAACATAGCTTTAACTCACTTAATTGGCGGCAGTCCTATGTGCTTGTAATGTTGCCATGCTTCAATGAATGCAGGCGATAACTTGTAATCATGCGTGAAATACCTGATCACCTTGAAGAAGTATGGATCAAGACGGCACCTGCCGCGTAAAAAATAGAAACATCGTTGGACTAAGAGCAGTGGCATATCTAAGTATTTTACCTCATATCTTTACGTCACTGCCACCTGATGAGGCCAGCAGCTGCTGGTAAAAGCTTGTGTATTAAATAATTAGACTATATTATACTGCCCTCATGAGGCTGACTGATTAACAGTTGATTGATTAAGAGACCTTTTTAGCTCTAATGCCACTATTATATTGCCCTCATGAGGAGCTCTAGAAAAACTTGGCTGATTGATTAATAGTTGATTAATAGATCATTTTTAGCTCCACTGCCTCTATTATACTGCCCTCATTGGAACTTTTGAGATTACGAGAACTTGTTATCTTATACGTCAACATGACTAACACGGCTGTATCTCCTACTATATAAGTTCTACCAATTTAAAAAAAATACTCAGAAACAGAAAACACTGTTTATCTCTTGAAAACCTTCCAATATTTATTATTGTTTTGTAAAATTTAATGCTCAATGTTATTTATATACTTTAGGTTATGTCTACATTTTACCTTACTAATAACTAATTTCTAGGCATAAGCCTACAATACAAATTATATCATCACTTGTAAAATAAAAAATAAAAATATTAAAAACAAAATAATAAAACTAATAACAGAATTCAAATCTTACTTATTCAAAAGCTGCCGCTCAGCAATGTGATTGAAACTTAAGTAGCCAAGTGCAATGGCTGCAGACCCCCTAACTTGCTCATTATCGGCACAAAGAAGCCCACAAAGTTTGTCAATAGATTCAATAGAAACAATGGCAGCAGGAACACCTAAACATGGTTAGAAAAATGGAAAATAGGATTTAAAAAAAAATTTAAGTCCATCAATTCAAAAAATATTTTACGATATATCTCAGTGAAGATATAATCACAACCTATACTTAAGGAGGTCCATCAAACAGAGCTTATAACTTGGGAAGTCTATTTTATGGAGCTTAGGAAGTGAGAGTTGATCATTTGGAACCAATAGACACATTCCACTAAGTTTGTCACATGAACTTTAGTGGGTATGAATTGCAAACAGGCAGCACGAGTGACACTCGGTAATAGAAAAATGCGTGGCTTCTTCAGAGTGTTTCTGCTGTATTTATACCATTATAGTTTAACAATAAAGTTTTATCGTAACATATCGTATCCCTTATATGTTGGTACAGGTAATTTCCAATTTAAAATATTTTGAATTGGACAAAAAAGGAAACTTTAATCTTTATTCTTTAACTTACCAGCTCTTGTATGGGCTAGCCTAGCAATACAGTCACATGTTATGGTTAATATTTGGTCATTCTTCGACTGCTCAAGCATGTCCACTAACAGTTTGATGCCAATTGCTGACGACGTTGCCTGGTCTTCATCTGGGATTATCCTTGCTAGTACTACAACCTTTACACCGACAAACACAGATTATATCATGACTGAATAGTTATAGCAACATTTTTTGAACATTTTTGTGTATTACTTAGCAAATGCAAAACCTCCAGATGGAAGAGAAAAGCAAAAATACAATTTTATTGGTTAAATCTTAATTTATATAATTAGGAAAAAATATACAATCATATCCTATTTTTGGTGATTTCAAGACAGGGTCAGGCGAAATAAAAATGAAGAAAAACTTTTATTTTTTTCTGAAATTTCCTTTTTTCGCAGCGACAGTCAATCAATCAATTAATCAATGGATTTATAAGGCGCATTATAATACAGCAGTCTCTATGTGCCAATAAAAAAAGACAAATAAAAATGACAAGTGCTCCAATTGGCCAAAAATAAAATTTTACTCATTTAAAATCATTATTATTGGCGGGCAGTGGGCAGGTATAAAAAAAGTCTCGCCTAAGCGGAAAAGAAAATGAGTAGATGAAGTGAGTAGAAAATACTGTACCTGAAAAGCTGCATTGCACCTGTAAAACTCATCATCTGACTTCAAATATGGGACAAAACAATGGTACCGTACTCCTCCAGACTCTGCAATTTCCTGTTGTTGGGCAACATTGTTGAAAGCGAACGCTGCCAGCGCAGACCCTGCCAATAACCTCACAATCTCTTCTTTGCTGTACAGTAAGCGCAGGATGTGTACATAATCAAACTCCATGTTTTCAGAAACATCATTCATTACATCCGAGTTACCTAGGAGACATAATGTAAACAAATGTGAGCAAACAGATGAAATATGAATAGTAAATTAATGCTATTAAATTTAGATTTCTTCCAATGAGAAATTAAAATAAATACAAGTTTTGCAATAACTGTCCTTCAAAAATAAAATTTTTGTTTTTACTTGTTCAGTTCACTATTTAGGCAAATTTTCGACCGAAAATTAGGACGAGGAAATATTTTACTCATGAATAATAAAATTCCTTGTTTGAATTGACCATTAACTGGTATCATTTTGAACTATGCATCTTTAGGAGTTAAACTTAATATGAGCAATTAAATGCAATTTTACCATTTTTTTGGCCCGCGAAAATGAATTAAAAACCCTACAGTATATGTTCAGCCCGCCAAGCAACATTAACCATGTTTTTTTATGGACCGACAACAACCATAAGTAAAAAACATTAAAACTGAGAATAAAGTGGTGTAAAAGCCCACCCCTGCCATAAACAGTACTTAAAATACTATTTAACATACAGTACTTTAGATCAGTTGTTAATTTCTTATTATTTAGGCGAGACTTTTTTTATTCCTTGTTTCGCATACTTAATTTTTAAAGATCATCGGAGGAGGATGGAATAAAAATAAAATTTTGTTTTCTTATTTAGCAAATAGTTTTGACAAAAACATTGAGATAGAGGAGGAAATAAAAATAAAATTGTATTGGTGAATGTAAAATAGGATGGTTAAATGCTTCAAATTTATATATGGTAATAACAAATATACATAACTTATCTTTGGAGATTTCAAGGCAGCAGAGGGCGTAATAAAAATAAAGAAAATCATTTATTTTTTTCTGAAATTTCCACTTTCTTGTGGCGGCAGGGGTGCTAATTGGCCAAAAACAAAATTATATTTTAATTTTAAATCATCAATATTTGCAGTCGGCGGGTTCGCTAAACAAGGTATAAAAAAAGTCTCGCCTTACTTTGATATATTAAAAATATTTACTTTTGTGTATTCAGTCTTAAGATTTCCTTGATTAAATTTAACTGGAGATCTACGAATTGCAGTAGGAATTTGCACAGTTTTTTTTGGTCTTAGGTTTATCAATCCCTGAGATTTGAAGACAAGAACTGCCAAGTTACAGCTCCACTGTATGTAGTATTATGCAGGGTGGTACCCATCAGTAAATTATAATAATATAACAACATTTTTTAATATTTTACATTGGCTAAGACTTTCTCTTGAATTCATGTGTGTACCACTGGAGCTAAGTTTGCTAAATAGTCCTAACAACTAAAATATGTCTAATTTTGGCATAACACTTTTGAACCTACAGTATGTGCATGTATGGGACTGTTAGCATGTTTATCAAAAGTTGATACAAGAATATTATATTAATATTATGTTAATGATAAAAGCTGATAACAAATGTGGATGCCAGTGTAGGCAAGGAGCTCAAAGGCAACAAGTTGAGCAACAAGACCAGTACAACTTGTTTGACCAACACAATCAACTTTGACCTCGGCATACTTGCTTCACAATACAATGAGGTAGTAATCTTAATCATGGGTTGTTATAGGAACAAGAAGGGAGCACAGTATTGTGACAACTATTTGAGTTTAGTGTTTACATAAGCACTTGCATGGGATTGATTACAAACTGTGTACTTGAGTACACTTGCTTTCAAAATCTTTATGCTTGGGGCCCATTCTGCGATTTCCCACGCTAGCTGCAACAACATAATATCGTTACTAATAATAAATTGCACACAAAATCCCCAGTGTTCTATGTTGAAACACAAACACTTTTTGTTCACTTTAACCATTCATTTTTGCCAGAAATTGGAACGACCTACTGTATATTTATGACTTTGTTATCTTATTTATTTTCTCTTAAACATAGTACTTTCTTTTAATTCAGAATTATTATAATGTAATAACAATCCTTTTAATCTTTATAAAATGTGATTTTTTTTAAAGCTTGTGTGCACATTGTAAAACATATCCAACTACAACCATCTCCACTCTTGAAAAATATTATACAAATGTTTCCCTTCTCAAATCAGTGGGGAGGATCATATATTGGGTCACTGATTTGATGTTGGAAATTGCCAGACTCCCTGTCAGACACAGCTTATGCCCACATCAGGCAAATTCTCGCACTTGGTTAATTTCAATGTACAACTTTAGTGTTGCATAACAAAAGAAACCAGAAAAAAAATACATACGGTATATGTAAAAATAGGCACAATGCATATTAAATAATATATATAATTGTATGATAATTAATTAAATCATAACACAATAATAAATGATAATGCACTATCTACGGTAACAATGAGTAACAAAGTCATTCAAGGATAAAACCATCCAATTAATATGTACAAAGAGAAATGGAAGTAGAAACTTAGTATCCATGGAGATGGTAAAAATCACCTGCTTTGTAATGCCATCTTCTCATCACCATGGATACAATACAGGTAAAAATTTGTTGGTGTTATTCGTATAAACATACACCTAGCAGGTTCATTAAATTTCCTACAATAATTACCGGTGCAGACAAGTTTTAACAGATTTGCCTTGGACAGAACTAGAACTTCTACAGTAAGGCATTATTAATGCTTACACACAGTAGCTACTATAGTAATGTTAAAATTGATTATATTTCAGTGTTAAGTTATTAATATTAGCTTTCATTTGAAAATTTAAAAGAAAATTATTTTTTATGGTATTTCCTTAATTAATATGCATATTTAAGTATTTAGTTATCAGAATTACCTTTTGATTAACAGTTTCTACATTCTTTGCAGACTTTTAATATAAATGAGAGACAACCTGACTCAAAATTGATCATTTATTTGATCCTTATAGATTCAATAATAATTTCATTATTATTATTTTGAAGTTTTAAGAATATATTTTAATCTCATCTTAACCACATGGATTATAGGTCATAAATATTTCCACTGCTGATATAGGCCTAATGAAGTTGAATATTGACATGAAAAGCATCATGCCCAATCACTAAGGGAATAATCAGTATAATAGTGTATTAAAATAGTTGTTAGTTGAAATGAACAAAATAAAAATCACAGGTTTATCGAGTGAAAGCAAGTTTAGCTGTAGCTTGGTGGTTACGGTGCTTGCCTTTCAACCTCGGAGTCCTGGGTTCATATCTTGCAAAAGACATAGATACAAACCCACTCCATAAGCCTCAAATAGAGACCTACTGTAGCATCACTTCCATCATTTTAAGTGGCTAGGTCTATTGGATATATTTAAATATATAAATACTGTACAGTACTTACCAATTGAACAAGAACCAAGTGTCAGAGCAGCCTCAACTTGGACCAATTCGTTACGAGAATGAACCATCAAAGCTACTAAGTAACGAATACCACGTGCACTTAGGATCGTATTTTGGTTCTTCTTTTGAGGGATGAACCCAATACCTACACACAGATACCTCAATGCACGGATGGCACTCAAGACAATGTGTTCTTTTGGTGACCGGAGGAGTCTTACCAGAGGTTGAACACCATTCGCTTGGGCAATGATGTTCTGCTTGTTGTGTGGACCTTGTGAGAGAACTGCTAGACCCTCTGCGCCAATGTAATGCAGAAGATCATTGTCAGCTAAAGCATTCAAAAATTCTATCAAGAGCTGGACTCCAACCATTCCTGCCATTGTCCTTTGCTCTTCAATGTCTTCACCAGCAAGGGCCCAGAGAGCTCCTGCTGTCACTACATGCACTTTAGGAGCACGGCTTCTTTTTAAGAGCTGCATCAGTGGCATTACACCACCTTCTTCTAAGATGGCTTTCTGTGTATGAGGATTATCTTTCGCGACCATATGCAATGTATGAATAGCATTTAGTTGAAGCTCTCTGTTCCTCATGCTTGCCATAGTTATCAAAACAGATGAACCTCCTTCATTAACAAATGCATCTTGATTTACTTTATTTCCTCGAACAATAAAACTTACAGCTTTGGCTAATGACAACAACAGAACCTTTGATGTGTCAGAGTCAAACAATGCCACCAGAGCAGAAAAAGACCCAGCAATTCCTCCTATCGATTGCTGATGTTTTTCATCGCTTGCTGCAAAAAGTCCAAGCATATCAATTACCTGTACAAGGATCTCGGCATCATTACTGGTCTGGCAAAGTTTGATCAGAATTTCAATTCCACCACTTTTTTCCAGTAAGTCAACAAACTCCTTCTCCTCTGAGAGTTTGCATAAGAAAACTGCTGTGACCAACATCAATTCTTGACTAGCATCCTTGCCTTTAAGGATGTCAAGTGATATTGGTATACCTCCAGCCGTGACAAATTGGTCTTTGACAACTTGCATTGACAATAAATTTAAAAGAACCTGGTAAGCTCCAACTTTTGCTTTGTCATTTATCATTGACTTAATCACTTTCACAAGAGTCGGAATGCCATTGTGGCTAATGATCGATTCTGAATGCTCATTCTTTTGTAACCCATCAGATTTGGTAAGTTTTGTGAGGACATTAGTTGCAGCTATTGCATCTGAGTCATTGTCAGACAGAAGAAATTTCATCAATCTTGTCCACACTGGAAGATCCTTATGATTTAAAGCAATGAAGTATTCCAAGATATCCACATAACCTTTCATGCAGGCAAGTTCCACAATGCCAGTATTATGCTGGTTTGAATATCGTAGATCCGATCCGAGCTGCACCAAGCACTGTACAGTCTCAAGCTTACCACTATCGACAGACACAAGAAGCGGTGTTAGCTGGCGACTGCAATTTGTAGGGAACTCCAACTGGTCTTCACTGGCTGCTACAAATCTTTCGATGGACTTGATGAAGCCATGCATGGCAGCATGGTGGATGTGACTCCATCCATTGTCATCTACATCATTCATGATAGCTCGCTCCTTGGCATACTCATCCTTTTCTTGATTATTTCCTCGGTTCCTAAAAAAATTAATGAAAATCAGCATAATTTAATCACGAAAAATACATTAATATTAATTTCTTTTCTGTGTAGCCAGGTCATTATGCAAATATTTACCCACCTATTATAAATGGATACAAGAACTTGCTAATTGGGTCATATCCTAAAGTTAAATGTCAACAAATTTAAACTATTCAATGCTGAGATAAAGATGTTATAAATTACTGTAGAAAATTATGGCAAACATTGTGCTGATCTGCTTCTATGCTAGTAACATTTTCACACTAGCAGATAACATTCGTTTCGCACATGCAATACAATCAAGCAAGATCTCAAGAGGAATAGCAACTTATAATTTAGGCGCTTATGTTTACAATTGTTTTGCACGCTTCTTGTGCCTGCTTGCCTGCTTGGTTACAGTGATGTTACCCTGTGTTGCCTCCTTGGCACTTATCACTGTTACAGTCCATCCCGCTGTGTAAAAAACGCTGTCAATTTATGTGACCTTAGCTTAATAGATCAATTGAATTGCTGCAAGATTCTTTTAGATGAATTTTTGTGACTCAGTGGCATATCTAGGGGAGGGCGCACGCTTAAGTAGATAAAAATCACTTCATTTATTCCCCCCTTAACCTTCGCGCCACTTCCCATCAGCCCCCATTTCAAGACTCCTAGATATGCTACTGGACTCACAAAAAGTAGGTATTGTCTTTTATTATGGACACAGTCCAAGTAAAGGTAGTATTAAAAAAAATGGAATAACATTTATTTAGCTGAGCTTGATTGCATGCAAACACATGCTTTAGGCCAATTAAAAAATAAAAGTAGTTTCTCGTCCTAATATTTTGATGAAAAAAGGAGAATAAGGGAAGGGCACTTTTTTTCTTTACACCCGGATGGCAAATCCAAGATGGTCAATGGGAAACACTACTACTTTCTCACTTTTACCAATTAGACACATTGAAAGCAAATAAAAGAAGAACTAGACACGATTAATACCATATTATGTATCCCCAACCGCAAACGATCGAGAGAGGAATTTTACTGATGTGAGTTAGTCAGATTTTCATACATTTCGTAAAATAAAGGAAATAAAAAAAAAATTTGGTGATGCAGAGAAAATGGATAAGCGAGGGGAAGAGAAACTAGTTTTTATTATTTGGCCTAAAATAGGTTATGAAGCTCCTGCCCACACTATCAAGTTATCTGTGACAAATATCTGTAATTTGCCCATATATGGGCATGATTTTAACATCAGCATGCACATACCTGTATAATAGCTTAGGTATATCAGGAATTTTTGTCAGAGAAAATATGTGGACAGAATTCAGAGAACTATGTTGTTTTAGTGATTATTGGATAATAGAACATTAATAAACGTATGATTAATAAACTAACAGATATTTAGAGAAAACAAGCGAAGAATACATGCTAAGCATAAAGAACAGGGGTGGTAGAAGGGGGAAGGGGGTGGTTAATGACTAAAGTAGAAGATCCAGAAGGTGCTCCACAGTAGTGTCCCTCCATTGGAATTCAACTCACTAAAATAATTTCAGATTGTTGAGTTCTGTCTCGCAACTTTTCACTGGGGGACTTCCAGTGGCCTAGCCCTGAGCAGCTGGTATGACAAATAGTGTACCACACAGCTGATGTCGCCGCTAGACCTTTGCATATAGCAGCAGCAGGCAACAGATACTATCTTTTGTTAATTACTGTATGTAAACATTGAAATAGCTTCTTCAGACTTAGACTTGTTTTCATTCTTTTTCCAAATTAAAATCTGTGTTCGTTAGTAATTTAGTTTTATCATTTAATTAGTCCATGATAGTAATTACATAGAGCGAAATGCTAGGCTTCTGGAAGTTCCCCAGTGGTAGTTGCCACTTACCAGGTTATTGGAAATTTTCATTTCAAATTCGGCGAAAATGGTGTATTTCACGCTGCTCAACATTTTAGGTATATCATATTTTAAAAAATTTGTTTATATTTTTTCCCTTTTTTTTGGTCAAACAAATTGTGACTGAGAGCGAGGCTTGGCCTGTCAGGTTGCACCTTAAACTCCAGCCCCAATGGCATCACACTGCCTTAGTGAGGTTTAGTTCCTCTACCAATGAAAAGCAATTGTTATATTAGGTGACCATGACAACAGAAGAACTACAGATTTGCATTCTCTTCAAGCATGCCCCAAAAACTGCCACATTTGTTTTTAAAAATGTCAGGATGCAAATCCTGTAAAGTTTCATTATCATGGCCTTGTAGAAAGCTTTTCAGTATTAATCAATGAAAGACAGTTTGCCCTCCAATTCAAGACCACCATTGGGACCTGAAATTTTGGTTGGTCTCGAGTTTGGTCTCCAATAAGAAGGCTAGCATTGTGCTAAAAGCATAAAAATATTGCTATTTGGTTCTTAAAAAAAAGTGGTCATAAATTATCAGGGTCTTTGAAATCAGAGGTCTCAAACTGAAGGGTGCACTGTACATGTATTTCTAGATGCAAAAATAAAGATATCTAAATAAAAGTGAGTAGGGAGTTTTCAACGTGACTACTCGAGCCTAGAACATATTCACTCATACGCAGCTGTCCTGAATTCTCTGCACAACAAATATTTAATCCAACCCCATCTCCTAGAACTTAAAGAGCAAGAACTCAATGTTGTTGCAAGTGCAGAAGACTATACAATAAAATTGCTTCTAAGATCTTGTTGTCAACGTGCAATTGAAAACTCCCAAGTATTAGTAAACAGCTATGCCCATTTATACATGCAGGAACATACTCTAACTTGGCATTCGACTTACCCATACATGATGGCACATTAATACAATTATTTCAAACTATCCAAAAGGCTAGGTAGCAAAATATTGTATTCTGATTCGATCATGAAATGGCCATACATCTGGATGAACAATGATGGAATAAAAAAGTACAGTACATTGAATTGAATAACACAGTTATTTTATACAGTGGCAAATTCATGGGGGCCCCTAGCAGGCCCGGGCCCCCTTTTTTTTTAAAGTGTAAAAAATTGAAGAAAAAAATAAAATTACATTCAAATATTAAGGTCATCGGGGAAAAATCAAATCTCGGTGAGGTATTGTATACTATTGCGATCGTATGGGTTGCAGTGGTGGCGCCAGCTCCTCCTCGACAGGGGCATGGTACATCCGCAGGATAAAGAATCCTAACCCACATGTCGGGAAGCTTGGACCAAATGTCGGGGAATTCCTTCCCCCCCCCCCCACACAGGTCAAGCCTCCCCCATCAGAGCTCGATGGGCAGTCGGACTAAAAAATATATAAAAATAGGCCCATGCCAAGCCAACACATGTCTGTCACAATCAGAGAGTGTCATTTTC